CTGTATGTCTAGTTAAGAAAAATCCTACATTTCTAATGCCCTGGGTCTAATCAGCAATTCATAAACTTTGTAACGATTAAACATCTGTTCTTAAAAACCCTTGGAATGATAAAGGCTCAGTCTAGTTTATTGCCAGCTGTGATATTGAATAAATAAGATTACATGGGAGAGGCGGGGGGGGGGGGGAATTCCATCCATTCAGGCCATTCAGCACTGGGCGAATTTATCAGATGCTTTGGGGGCATCTGTTTGTGGGGGATTGTCACAGAACCAAAACTTTCAGGGTAGGCAGGAATGGCCAATCAGGTCAAGATTAAAAAATAACAGTAGTTGTACAGTACCTTGTTAGTGAACTCTTTTGTGTACCATTTCAAGGGAATTTTTTAGGGTGTGTGTGTGTGTTTATCTCTACTTGTGGGAAGTTGGGAATGGGTGAGACTCTGCCATTCTTTCAGTTTTATAAGATTTTGTCCAGAACATTAAAAAGTATGTTCTCTAAGTTAACTACTGGACTTTTTCTCAGCCTACATTTCTGAATCAATGTCCATTTATGACTCCAGGTCTTGTATACAACTGTCCTTTCCCCCCCATAATGAGTTGTTAAGCACTTTATTTACAAATAGTTAACTAAGACATTTATAGAAGTTTTGGAATCACCTTTTCTAAGCTGCATTTAAATAAATTGGTACTTTGGGGGTAAGACAATTCAAGTAAGGTTAATTGCTAACAGCATTCTCTTTGCTTAACTTTGCTGGGACAGTAAGATTGATTGGTTTAAAATGTACAAACAAAAGGCATTTCATCAACAGGATATCAGTTCATTCACCTTCCTCTATTACATCATGCAGCAAAAAATTTATTACTTCGTCCCCTACAAATACCGTATTTGCCGGCGTATAAGACGACTGGGCGTATAAGACGACCCCCCAACATTTCCACTCAAAATATAGAGTTTGTTATATACTCGCCGTATAAGACTACCCCCTCTTCCACACACCTTCCACTTTTGCACTTCTTCTTTTTTTGACGCACTTTTCTGCTTTGGACAATTTTGAAATGAGCTAATCCAATTTTGAACCAAGAATATGCAAATAGCTATGGAGTTTAGAAATGAGTTTTAAAAATATTTTTCATTGCTTACCATTAAGCGTAAAATATGTTGTAAATAAAATGAGAACACAGGAAACGTTCTCTTCTCAATACAGCTGATCTCTCTCTCTCTCTCTCTCTCTCACACACACACACACCAAAAACCCGGACACTGAAAAGGCTGCCAAGGAACAGTATATTCAATGCCTTCTCTTTAATCAAGAAACAAGGAATTCCTTAGAATCTTTTTTTTTCCCCAAGTGGCCCTCTTTAAAAAAAAAATGGAGGTAACACTTTCATTCAAAAAGTCTTCCAGTATCTGGAGTCGCTCAGACATATTGAAGTGAGGCAGGAGAGTAAGTGAAATTTGAAATGATCCAGCTACCGTTTTCTTCCCCTCCTGCCCAAAGGCCATTATCTCCACGTCAAAACGAACGAGGGGAGGCAAAGAAGCCAAACACGCTAAAAAGGATCTCTTTATTTTCCTACACAAGGTCACACCTACTTTTCCGCATTCAAAGGACAACCTCTCCTCACCACCACCACCACACACACACACACACACCCCAATACCCGCAAACAATGTTCTGGGCATTAATCACCTTTGCTACATTAACCTGGTAAATTTATACCCTGCCTCCCCCAGTGTTGCTTTGACGGCAGGATTTCACACAGCGGGGCGCTCGCTCGCTCTCTTCTCCGCTCTCCCACCGTTCGCACATGTTGGAAGCACCGTAAAACCTGATAACCCACCCGGGGGCTCCCCCATCCTTAACCTACAGCCGCCCGCATGCAAAACCTGCGTGCAAAAAGAAAAAAAGAAAAAGAAAAGTATGCCGCACGTGAGGATCTTCGAATCCTCTCCTCCCCACACCGCTAAGGAAGGAAGAGGGGGAAAGGTTGCGCAGCGCGTGGCGAGTGACACCCGCCACACACACACACACACACACACACACACACCGCTCCCCCCCCCAGCCTCCCTCCCGGCTGCAACTCAAGCTCGAAGTGGGAGTCGGAGTCCTCCCGGCGTATAAGACGACCCCCCCACTTGGAGGCATGTTTTTCAGGGCAAAAAAGTCATCTTATACGCCGGCAAATACGGTATTTACTTTTACCAACATTCTAGAAAAGAAGTTGCACCCACCACCATTTTATTTTTAAAATATTAAATTAAAAATGAGATGGATCCTTATGAAACCTTTAATCCTTATTAAAATGGTACCAGTTTGTCAGTGTTTCTTCTCTCTTTGACAAATATTGTGTCAACTGATATATGTACAATATTTGCTTATGATGGCTTCTGGTTTAGTTTTTAATTTAATATTTTGGGGAATGGCCAAAAGTACTTGAAAGTAAAATGTTGCCTGCTTATCTTTTGCCCCAGTAGATTTCTATAGAAATAAAAATCATTTGTCAAATTTTTTTTTTTTAAAAGTTGTTCCTTGTCATCAATTGATAAGTTGGACAGTAGCTGGCTCCTTACATTTGGATTTTGCCCCTTCAATTAAAAGAAAGAAATATGGCTATATTAGTATGTGTTTAGCTTAGGACAAGGGTGTCAAACTCGATCCGTCACATGACAGATCACATTTTTTGCCTTTGCGGAGCCGATGGGCATGGCGTGTGTTGTGGAGCGGCAGAATAACCTGAGGCAAACACGGAGCGAACTTCAGCTTTTTATTGTAGCAATAAAGGGTTGCCGCGGCTGCCGCGCTAACAAGGTAGCCAGCCGGCAGACAACAGCTGATGCCGTTTGACAGCTCCCTTTTATAGCCGGCTGTCAAACGGCATCAGCCAATAGGAACGGTCCGTGTTCCCGCTGGAAACACGGACCGGAGTGAAGACTTCAGCTCAGTCTTTTCCGAACGCCACAGCGTGCATGTGATGCATCTGGCCCACGGGCCAATTTGACACCCCTGGGAAGTCTGTAAATCCATCCAGTATAGTTGTAAACCATAATTTCTCTCTTCAGATGGGTTTACACACTATAGAAAGCCAAAACACAAACCACTTTATGATTAGCATTCAAATATTTGTATGCAGAAGTTGAGTCATAGATCAACGATATAGTTAATTCAACAAACCTCAAATGACTGAATTTACCCAACACAATAAGCCAAAAGGAGTCAAACCACATGATGGTTAATATGCGGCACAAATATAGCCAGTAAGTAGGTGGACAGTGGCAGATCTGCTTCTGGTTCTTTCTTTGGCTTTTCCATTTTTTAAAAATTCATGAAAAAAGAAAAGATAAATATGTCACTTTTAAAATAACATTTTAAAAGAGTATTCACTATTTTAACGAAAAGAAATGAACCACTGGGTAGGTCTTTTTTATCCCAGTATGTTGCTTCTTCTCTGAAATTTATTTATTTTAGATGCACAAGATGGAAAAACGGCTGAGAACTTTCTAAGCAAAAGAAGGTGAAGGATATGGAAGTTGAAGTTCAGTGAATATATTCTAATGACAGTGGCCTTTTCTTCTTTTAAAAGGTGAACTTTGCATCTTGGAACTACCCTCAGCTTTGCCTGCCCAGGAGAAAGTTGTTTCTAGCATCAAGTTAAATATTGTAAGTGATAGTGTTGCGAATGTGAAATCTGTGCCATTATTTGTCTGCCCTCTACGTTATGCTTTATATGCGGGGCTGTCCCTAAAGACATTCAGAACCTGCAACTTCTCTAAAACTTGGCATCTACATGAGTGTTCAAGCTTAGTTTCAATGACTTCCTCTGGCTTTCAGGTTGTAAAAAGTAATGTGATTATATGCAATTATTTGTGTGTGTGTGTGTGTGTGTTTTAGTTCTGATGTTTGCATAATAACCTTCCATCAAAGAGTTCATGTTTTCATTTTTCGTTTTATTGTTCCAACAACCCTGGCAAGTTAGAATGAGAGATCTCGATGGAACTTAAGACACTCAGTCAATTTTGTACCTGAGCAGGTTGTAGTGCAGTAAGGTTTCCAAAGAGCAGGAATTTTTAAAAATCAAATATACTTTGTTTAAAAAAATTAATATGTTCGATTGAAATTGAGAAGGTATTGATATAAGTTTTGGTCAGTTTAAAACTGCAGCTTTGAATTTGATACTTGAATTTTCCTTTTGCTTAATGGATTAGCACAGGGGTGGGCAATTAATTTTCCCAGGAGGCCACATGAGAAATTGGGGATGGTTGTGGAGGGTGGCTGCCCCACACTGCCACTGCCCCCATTGCTGCTATGGGCTGGACGGGGAGAAGGCCAGATACGGCCCACAGGCTGTAAAATGCCCAGATCTGGGTTAATCTCTGAGTGGACTGTATAATTAGATTGTGATATGGCTGAAGACTGATACTAATCACACAATTATTGCAAAACAAAAATCTGTAGATAACATATGATGTCAGTAAATCAAGATGTCAGTAAATAATCAAAACTGATGTCAAAGAAATGAGGTAATAATTATCAATTTTATTTCCATTGGTCATAGTCACAGAATTGACCCCACTCGGTAAAAAGCGTCCACGAAAGAGATCTAAAACAAGATGGATTGATGAAATCAGCAAGTTATTGTGGGCCTAATTGGCAAAAAAAAAGTATAGGTTGGAAACATGCAGAAGGGGCCTTCACCCTGCAGTAGATAGACAATGGCTAGACTGATGATGAGGATGATTTCCATTGGTATATATTTTAGATGTAATGATGGTGAATTTAGGAACGATGGCAAATATCAATTGTCATGGACATTTTTCTTCATTGTACAAAGTCCTTGCTTTGCTTGCCAACTAATTCCAAAAACTAAAAATGACAGTTTAGGGAATATTAATAATTCAGCAAAATATACCACATTAGCATTTATGCTGCCTTTGCCTCTCCATTTTGGGTACATGCAGCTCTACTTAGTGGAAATCTTACAACAATCAGATTTAATCTAGAGAAACCATTATATAGAATACCAACATTCATGTTCTACTACATCTGTCTGAAAAGTCTACCTCAATCTGTTTCTCGTTAATTGTGGCTGCTTGTAGGTGAACTACTGAACTTTACAACCTGTGTTCTATTTTTAAGTTTAAAAAAAAAAAGTATTTGCAGTTGCAGCAGTATCAATCTTTAGTTGCAGTATGAGTCCCATCTAGTGGTTAAACTATCTTTTTTAATTTCCCTGCCCAGAATTTAGTTCCCTCAAGCCATTGGTGGAAACAAGGTAATCTTAAGCTCTAAATTTCATGGTGCCTTTGCTGCTATTTCTAAATGAGCCTCTGTTCCAATAATGTTGCAGAAGACACATTGGAGAGGGTAGAAAGGTGAGGGAAAGAGGGGCTGGGGAGTGGGTGTAAGACAGTGAAGAACGAGGATAAGATTGAATGCTATGAGATTGCCATTACTTGCGTAGGGGGGATGTGTGTGTGTGTAGGTATGTAAAGCTAGGAGAAGAACGCATTACAGCTTGTTTCAAGGGGTGGCTAAAATAGGTGGTTTCGAAGAATAGGGAGGCCTTGGGGACCCTACAGGAGAAAATTCTGTGATGTATTCTAACATCTTTGTGAATCTTATACGTGCTTGTGAAGTGCATGTGGGGCATAGCTATTGAATATATGAAGCATGATCCATGTGCCTGCCAGATGAGTACATTTATATCATGCTCTATTTCAGGGGTACATTTGAAAACATTGTAACAGGGATCCCTCCCTATAACCAGTTTGAGTGGCCGTGTTTTCTGTGAACAAAACCTGCTTATTCAAACACTGTTAGAGAGAAATAATGATTCTTCGCAGCTCCTCTTTTTCCTTACAAAATGTCCCCTGTACATTGGGGAGTGGGGAGAGGAAGGAAACCTTGTAGAGTACCGTGTGAGTCTAAATGAAAAGCAAAATTGTGTTGGTTCAGCTTCTGTGTTACTCTAGACAGTAATGGGTGGGTGTGTTGGCATGAATATTAAATAGCAAGTAGGAAAGTAAAGCAACACTCTTTCATTGGTCTGCTTGTGCCTGTTGTGTTCAGACACAGGCTGTGCACGAAAGAGCATGGGCGTCCTCTGGTGGCCTTCAGGCCACACAAAAACTCTACGGTGGGAAAAGTAATGAAAATGTGAAGCTAGCAGCTCTCATCATATCTAACATACAAGGGAAACAGCAATTTGGAAAAACTAGCCAGCTTAAAGATTAAAGAACTACCTGTAGATTGAAGCTTTAATACTAGACAATTTTGATGCTCTTTGAAAAGAATCACATGATCCATATACGGCAGATCAGTGAAATAAACCATAGAAGACTGCAGTTACATGAAACTGAAAATGTTTTATCAAGCATATGCTAGGATTAATCCTTAATTTGAGAGAGCAGTCAAGACCTATAATAAAAGTGCTTAAATTACTTTTATGCAGAAAGGGATTGCTGTGTTCTTCAGGTCATTGGGGAAGAGATTAATGGTCAATGCCTGGAATGCACTACCTGACTGTTGTTACATCCTCTAACCCCCATTCCTTTAACCTTAAACTATCCACTATTGACCTCACCCCATTCCTAAGAGGTCTGTAAGGGGTGTGCATAAGTGCACAATTGTGCCTACCATCCCTGTCCATTTATTTGTACCTATTTCCTGTATTCTTACTCATATTTATACTTATACCTATTATCTTGTAAGCAATTGACAAATCAAATCAAATAAATTAAAAAAAATAAAGAGATACGTTGGGATCCCATGTGATTCAAAAGGGGACAGTAAGACACTACGTGTATGTACCATATTCAAAGTGCTATATTCTCTGCAGAGAGAGACACTAGGAAACTTGCAGCAGCATCACACTGACAGAAATGAAAGTCCTACTTTCCACAATACACTAAGACAGGATTTAGTGAATAAACTACAATTAGATGGGTTTACATAACATACTAAACCAAAAACTACAGCATCTTGTTATGGATTTGGGCAATATATGATCATCACTCAAGATGACCTGGGATGTCCAAAATAACCTACATTCAATCTTAAAGGTAAAGTAATTTAGGTGGTGTTGTGACGCATCATAATTGGTCAAAAATCACTCCCATGTAATAAAGAAGGGGAGGCAGAAGCTGTTAACAAACCCATATATTTGCAAGAAGATACCGTGTTTCTCATATAATAAGGCCAGGTCTTTTTTTTTTTTTTTTTTGAGCCCCCCAAAAACGACTAGGCCGTCTTTTTGGGGGTGACTTAATTCCCCCCACTTGCATCTTTGGGCAGGTGGGTGGCAACGGCTTGGATGTTGACCTCGGCGTTGGTGGGGCACTTTGTATCGGGGTCAACGCAGGCAGCACCATATCCGGGTGTGCAACAAAAGTACTTCCTAATGGCAAGCCCCCCCCCCATTTCGCATGTTTTAATATAGGCCTTAATTTGGGGGGATGGGCTTAATTTCATTTCATGCCTATAAAACATGCTGGGACTTCCTATTGGGGGAGGCCGTATTGTTGGAGAAACAGGGTAGTAATTGGGGTTTTTACTGAGAAATTTAACACATCCAATTTGAATTTTAGTTTAAGAAAAAATATGCTAATTATTAAATATTTCTTGGGCTTTATTTGGGAAAGGAAACGTTATTTTCTCCTCCATGCTGCATCGAGAGCCCAGGATGGGTTGACTCCTTCCTATGACGTCATAGCTGAGTCTGTACTAAGATATAAAAGCCAGCCCCCGGGAGAGACCCCAGCTTTTGACTCAGCTCCTTTCAGTCAGTAGCTGTGTCTCTGAAAGCGTTCTGTTAGATAGCAATCACCAGCGATCTTCAGGACTTTTTTCCTCTCTTCAAGCAGCTCCCAGGGATCTGGGCAGCGGGCTCTCTCCTCTCCTCTCCTCCCCCCCCCTCTCTCCCTCCCTCCCTCCTGCAAGTTGGGAGCAGCTTTACAGAGCTCTGTGCAGGCAAGCTGGGCAGCGTCTGCAGACCTCCCCCACGCCTGCAGTTTGGAGGGATCGTAAACATGATCGGCAAACTGATAAGAGCTCAAGCCAGCTGATCATGTAGCTGGTTGCTGTGTTTTTCCCTTGCTGACTTCGCTCGGGGCTCTGTATAGCCTAAGGAGCGATTCTTCAATCTTGGAGCCTGTTTTCCAGTAGTCAACCTATCCTGGGCTCTTGCAGCATAGATAGAAAGGGCTTTCACGGTAACTTCTACCAACGCCGATTCCTTTCCAAAATGTTATTTTATGGGGAAAATGTTCAGAGGTAATTAAATCTTCATGGCAGTCATTTTCCCAAGGTAAGATTTTTCTTCTCCTCTGTAAGAATGTTCTTATGCCTGGTTTTACTTTGAATCAGTTATTTAATGTTTACACCAGACCAGAACATTTCTTTATCATTGCAGTTAGAAACTTGTTTCCAAATTTTTATCCAGGAAATCAAAACTAATGTTTGAAGACTTAATTTCAAAAACAATTGTTTATAAATATGTTTCCAAAAAAATATAGCACTACATCTGTGTGTTTTGAGTTGTATTTGTACATGTAAGCAGGGCAGTAAGACTTAAAACAGGTTTTACTTTTAGAAAAGCCAGGCTAGATAAGTTGATATGAACAGGAATTATATACTTTTTATCATTCTTTCTCTCTTAGTAT